CTCTCTCTCTCTCTCTCTCTCTCTCTCTCTCTCTCTCTCTCTCTCTCTACGTTGAACTGGACGATGCAGGATGATGTACACACAAACATCCGGGTCCATTCTAGCATGTACTCTGCGGAGCAGGCTGGAGTTGCATTTGTCGTCCCATAAATGCCATAGACAGGACATCTACGTTCAGAGCAGGTGCAATACTCGCATCCTCGGGACAGACAGCACGGTGCTCTTCTTCTACCCAGCGGACAAAGTCTGCAAAATCAGAGACAGCATAGGCGTTGCAATTGTAAGAGAGGAAACATACATTGATGGCATAGTACGCACAGCGGCCTCGCTGTAGCAATATGAGGTGATCTGATTCTGCAGATTGCACGCCAGGGGGAGGTTCATTCAATTCTGCAGATTGCACAGTAGCAGGAGGTTTCCAGTCTCACCGTGTCTGTCAGGTTCCTCTGGCTGTATTACCTCCATTGGCTCTAGCATGCGTTCCAGAGAGAGAGAGAGATCATCTCCAGTGGGGGGCTCCATCCAATGATCAAAAGGTGGATCGTTGTCAGTTGGGGCAGGGGGGAAGCAATCCGGGCCAGATGGATGAGAAGTAGGTAAGTCAGCTTTAGGAAGCGAAAGCTGATCAGCCGCACTTGTGCTCAGAGTGGCTGCAAGTGGTGCAAATGCTGCACAGGTGGCTGCACCTCGTGCCTCTGGTGCAAACGCAGGCCTGCAGCGCTGTAAAACTCGTTGCCACATCGTTGGCATCGGACTCTGTATAGGACTCTGTTCCTGGCTAGTGTGCATTGGGATGAGCGACGTGGTTCTGTACGGTTGCAAGCACGGCATTGAAGGAGATCGCTGATGACGATAATAATGCTGTTCATGTCCAACCAAGGCCGCTGCCTAGGAGGTGGCAGTGGAGATGGGGAACGTCTCCGCCGAAGAGGCCACTGCGACGGCCGATCCGACCATGAATGCTTCCGCTGATGAGACCTCTGTGATGGCTGAGTTGACCGTGAATGTGTGGATGATTAGGACGATGACAAAGGGGAGGCATGTGAGGAGGAGGAGGAAGAGGAGGCAGTTGGCGGAGGGGATGACGTAGTAGAAGATGTATGTGGAGGAGCTGGTGGTGATGGTGGTGATGATGGTGGTGCTGGTGGTCGTGGAGGTGGAGGTGGTAGAGGATGTGTGAGTGTGTGTTTTAGATTTGCACCAAAACGGCCCCTGTCCCACCAAGATGCCAAAATCAAAGCAACTTTACCTCCATTGCAGACAATGAAGCGCACTTGAGATGGGCCAATGCAACAATGAAATGTGTATGTGTGTGTGTGTGTCTACGTCTGTGTCTACATCTGTGTCTACGTCTGCGCCTACATCTGTGTCTACGTCTGTGTGTTGTGTGTCCAAACTCCTGACAGGAATGGCAATTACTCAGAAATGTGTGTGTCTCTGAGGTATGTCTGTTGTATGTCTCTTGCATGTCTGTGTGTGTTGTGTGTTGGTGTGTTGGTGTGTTGGTGTGTTGTGTGTTGTGTGTTGTGTGTTGTGTCACAACTCCACAAAAAAAATGCATGTAGCTGTGCCAGACCGTTTTGTCGGACTTTTACAAATATGTGTGTGTGTACAGTCGGACTTTTACAAGTATGTGTGCGTATAGATTTGGACGAGGATGTTTATGTAGATGTAAATTCTCTAGCTTTGTTGTTCGGCCATGCAAGTTGAGAAATTGTGTCTTTTTTTTTTTGCCTCTTTTTTTTCCTTAAGGGACGACGACCTTGAGATATCGTCATCGGAGTGACGGCCCCCAGGTAATTCAGAATTATTCACTCCATTCACCTAAGTCCATCACGATTCAAACTTAGGTCTGTATTTCAACAGTTCATGGGTGCGCCAACTGACTGACCTATAGTTCTGTGAAAATGATACATTCGTTTAGCAATAGACCCAAAAATTAACCGGCACACGCGGTACCACGGTACTACTGAGTTTCACACGAACCTCAGCAGTCATCTTACCGGTACACGCGGTACGAACATTCCGCTTCGGGCCTATAGGACGGTAGCAAAAGCGGCAGGCCACTTTGAAAAGCAAGAGAGAGAGAGAAAAGTTGCAGGGGACGCTGCTGAGACTTGGAAGGTAGGTAGCTTCATCAACTTTGCGTTTTTCGAGCGACCTACATTTATGCAGGCCCTATGGATGCATCTTGGGGTATCTTTTGTGCAGTTTTATGTATAGTGAGCGAGTTCCTTTGCACACAATAAGCCCTGTTTTACTTCTTGTTCTTTGTTATTTAACTAAGTTACTCGCTTTACGTGTCATCCTTGCACAGGGGTTGTAGCCTTCTCCGCATCGTTCCAAATTTTAATGGGTGTCCCAAAGGACAGGCTCTGTTTTATTTCTTTTCTCTAAATAAAAGAAGAACAACAACAACAAGAACAAGAAGAAGAAGAAGAAGGAAGAGGGGGGGAAGAAGAAGAAGAAGAAGAAGAAGGAAGAAGGGGAGGAGGAGGAGGAGGAGGAGAAGAAGAAGAAGAAGAAGAAGAAGAAGAAGAAGAAGAAGAAGAAGAAGCATCAAGAAAATCAAAACAGAGGATCGAGTCTGCATACCGACAGACAGAAGAGTACGAACCTTCAGAGAAGGTTCAGCCCCTCCATCACCAACCAACAACACACACATAGATAGCAATTGTAAGTTTACACATTCGCACACTTTTCCGTTTCTTTTTTTTTCCTTTTTTTTCCGGCACACACTTAATAATTTTATAAATCTTAACTAATTTTTCCATAGAATGCCATACCAACAAACATAAGATATCAGTGTTTCTCACCATGTTCTTGCACTTGTAAGTACACCGCATCGAGTCCCATTCCAGCGGATCAATAGCTGGAAAGCCACCTTCTGCAAGATCAAGATATCGACCCGTGACAATGTCATTGCAATCATTCCCATCTTCAACATTGCGTTCATCATCCCGTCCTCCTCTTTCGATGGAATGCCTGCCCTGTCCTCCTCCTCCTCCTCCTCCTCCTCCTCCTCCTCCTCCTCCATCTCCTCCTCCACCCCTCGGTCCCGTCGCTGCTAGTTCTTGATGGACGTCATCCATTCTTGTCGCCATCAATCTTCCCCGGCTTCTGACGTCCACCAGACCGCTCCTCAGTAAGTCCCGATTCCCCTCCTCTAGCATTAATATTGGGCTCCCGACAAGGCTTCTTGATGACAAGGGAGGAGGATCTGACCCTTCTGAGCCACGAAGAAGAGACGCTGGGTGTCGGAATCGCAACGCTCTCCCCGCTCCCGATCCCGATCCCGATCCCGATCCCGACCCCGAGCCTCCTCCAACCTCCGCTGACGGGGAACCAATCAGCACCCGCGCGCGTTTCCGGTTCGGAGACGCTCCCATCCATAACCCCCTATGATCATTGGCCATCGGGATCCCTCTGTCCTCCTTCACCTCCTCTCCTCTCGCTCCCTCTCTCGCAAGCCTACCCCAATCTTCTTCTTCTTGTTGTTGTTCTTGTTCTTGTTGTTGTCGTTTGCCAAAGCCCAATCTCGCTGCAGAAGATGGACTCCGCCCATCAGCAATCGGTGATCGGCTGCTAAGACGCGCCCTAATTGCCGAAGGCGCGCCGAGCCCATCTGAGAAGGGTGACAGACCAGATTTGCGATGATGGATCGGGATCCCAGCACCACTTCGGGCTAATTGCAAGGTCCCTAGAGGGGATCGTTGATGTTGATGTTCCGCAGAGGACATCGTAGGAAGGAGGTTTCTAACAGCCGGCTCACCGTCCACATCAATACCCCGCCGTAGATCTTGATCCGAGGGTGCGTGATCTGCAACCCTGTGGACGTTTGGAGATGGTATCATCATCTTTCTGGGCCCAACCTGACACCCAAAGACTAATCGTAATAGTCCCGATAGTACGTCTTCAGAGTCCCTCCCTTTCTTAGTCCGTCGTGTTCATCTATTCCCATCTACGGCCGGCATCCTCTCTGGTCCCAATAGTACGTCTTAAGAGTCCCTTCCAAATCTACCGGTCCCTCTCTTGCTCCGTCCGTGTTCATCTATTGCCCCGACATCCTCTCTCTCTCTCTCTCTCTCTCTCTCTCTCTCTCTCTCTCTCTCTCTCTCTCTCTCT